TGCAGAGCACTAATTCCGAGTATGGGTCACCATACTTGGCCACATGTCACGTCACTTATAAAGTCACTTATGTCACAAAGCAAGAGTGATAAAGAAGTGGCTCGAAGATCATTACATTGAAATTTTGGATCCGTGGCCAGGCAACTCCCCGGATCTCAATCCCATAGAGAACCTGTGGTCAGTCCTCAAAAGGCGAGTGGACAAGCAGAAGCCCACAAATTCTGCAAGAATGGATCGCCATCAAGTCAGAATTTGGCCCAGAAGCTAATATCCAGCATGCCAGAGTGAATTGCAGAGGTTATGAAGAACAAGGGTCAACACTGTAAATATTGACTCATTATATTTTTTTTGCCAATAAAAGCCTTTAAAACTTATATGCTTATCATTGTTTTTCAGTATACCATAGAAACATGTGGAAAAATAATCTACAAATACTGAAGCAGCAAACTTTGCAAAATATTTGGCAATTTGTCACTGCCAAAACTTTTGGCCATGACTGTACACATACATATATATATACACACACACACACCGCTTGCATAGCCTATATGAATATTAAATATAAAAAGTTGGAAGTAGCCTATATTTTCTAAAAGTAGAAGTAAAAAAATAATTGTAGGGGACAGAAAGGTAACTTGCAAAACTACTAATACTGTGTATGTGTGTGTATGCAGGCATTGTTTTGTGTGGTAATATAAAGAGTGTGTAATAATTGCTTTTTCTGTGTGTGTGGGAAGGGCATAACTTTAACCTTGCTTTAACCCTTGTGTTAATTCTCTCTTTATAGGCGACACTGATCTCAAAGCTTAAGAAGTGATAATACAGTGCAATACAACATAAGCTGCTACATACATGCATGACAACGCCTCATTTGGTCGACGCGTCTCTTGTCACTATTTGTCCTGGCCCTTTAAATCTGAAGCTCATTTATGCGTTCGTGGGCGGAGTTTGAGTACGAGTGTCCAATAAGAGCGGAATGCTGATGCTGGAGTGGATGCAGGACGTGGGACGCTGATGCTGGGGGACCCGCACAGTGATGGAGCGGCGACGACGCTGAAAAGGTAACGAAACGTGATCTAACGACACACTGGCATCCATTCACCTCAGTTAGGTGGGGTTTATATTAAAGGAGCGAAATTTAGGTCGGATTCATCGATTTGAGCTAATTATATTATTTTTGAATGATGGAAAATGAGCTTAAATCCGCTGTAGTATGAACGAGATGAAGCGTCGCTCGATGCTGTTTCAGTAGCATTTGCTTTAGGATCAATGCATACTCTGGTTCTGGTTCAATATATGAACACGCGTTCATATTAGTGTTAATTTATCTTCATAAACGGTTGATAATTTCTGCATGAACGTTTCTGTGTGCGGTCTAAATGAGAATAATTCGATGTTAATGTTAGAAATGACATTTCTTAAGCTTAATATTGAATACACCTATCTTTTTTATCTCAATTTAGGTGCATTACATTTTCACATGTATATTGCATTTGGTGTTTTTTTTTTTTTTTCAATGATTGCTTCTCAATTAGGAAAAACATTGGCATGTATGACCTGTCAGCCTCTAGGAGTGATTTTTGGGGGATGATTGACATTGGTGAAAGCCAATCAGAAAACAGATGTTATCCGCACAGCCAATGGTTGAAGGATGAGGGAGGGCTTTAACATGTGGCTTCTGTCAGATCTTCAGAAGATCAAAGAATTTATTGGTGTTTAAACAGTGTTTCTGGCAACCCTTGATTACAAGGGACATTATATGATATTTTATCACAATGTGACCGGCAGACATCTGGAAGCAATGGATTTGTATGATGTGAACTGTCAACCTTGCTTCAAAATCATTTTATTTGATATTTTATTAAGATATAATTGAGAAGAGAAACATCACCTTGTTTTATACTTGGAAATTTGGGGGAATTTAAAAATTGATCTGGAAATGTCATGGGAATTTCTGTAGTGAATATACATTTTTATAGATATGCACAGATCTAAAATATTAATTGACTATTTTTGTGTTTGCACTCTTTAAAAATGTTTTTAATATAGCCTTATCCAGTATTTAGCAACGACTAGATAAGGATTCATTTGTTAAAAGTTGCGGGAACTGAACGTTTTAAGGTTCATTGAATGAAATTGAGAAACAGTACTTTCAACATTTGTTTTTTCTTTTATTACATATTGAATGCCAATAAGTGATCTGCTTCGAATTGTGGTGATAGACTTCTGACAAATAAGAGTTTTTACCAGGGTGAGGTCTGTGAAAAATTTATCCTTGTACAAATGATTAACTTGAGCTGAATTGAATTCTGGGTTTAAACCATGCACTGCATGGCTTGGTTAACTCGCATTTCATGCAACAGATGAATCGCTTGGCCAGTTTCTCTTTTAACATGTCGTGTTATTGAAGTCTGGGTATTTGCCCTTTGTGGCTCTATGCACACACTGTTTTCAGCATCAGAGTGGGTGGCAGAGAGAGAGTCAGCGTCTCGTGATATGCACCCTGCCACCTTGATTAAGCCATTTATACTGGAGAGCATCTGGCTTCTATATATTACTGACCAAAAAAAAGCTCATTCCGTCATTAATTTCTCATTCAGAAGTTTCTCTGCTGACATTAATTAGCTCAGTCTCTGTTAGCTACTTCAGTTGAGACCAAAAGCAGCATTGCTTGTTTAATTTATGCTGTTGGCAGGTACTTTCATCCAAAATGACTTACAGTGCATTCAAAGTGTACGTCTTATCATGTGTTCCCTGGAAAGCAAACCCATGACCTTGGTGTTGGAACAGGAAATGAAGCTTCAGAAAGTGTAGTTAAATTAGTGGTGTTTCCTGAGGAATCATGCCTCATCGCTCATGCCAAGGTTTAGAGGTTTGAACTAACTTCTGGGCATAACTCATCCTTCAGCGTTTGTGCTACAGACGTGAGTAATACCTCAAATTGAGCAGCTTATATACTGTAGGAGAGGTGTTATTTTACACTGGAATTGACTTAGCCTACATCAACTCTGTAAAAATGTTTATAATTTTTACAGAGAAAAAAACGGTAAAAAATTCTACAGTTGAAACCTGTTTAACTCTAAAGTATCTTACCATATATGGTTGCATCAGATTGGTGTTTTACAGTAAAACACTGTCAGTTATATGTTTTTTTCCAAGTCAAAAAACCATTAAAAACTGATTATATATGATTTACAGTAGTGTTGTCAAAAGTACCAACCGCGATACCATTCGGTATTGAAATGTAAAAAATGTCCATTTCTCACTAACATTTGAGCACTGTTGAGCAGATTCTTAAACGGCGCTGATTGGTCATTGTGTTCGCGTGCTCAACAGATATGACTGTGATTGGCTACAATGATCATCGCTTCATGCTCTTCACCAAATGCGCACACAGAAACACACATGAGCGTTTTAAGCCGCGTCTATCAGCGGATCTGTCTATGTGCAGATATATTAGGGATCCGCTGAAGGTGATGGATCCGCTGATAGACATGGCTTTCAAACGCTCCGGTGTGTTTTGTGTGCGCGTTTGGTGAAGAGCATGGAGCAGATGAAGCACAGTCATATCTGTTGAGCGCGTGAACACAATAACCAATGGTATCACGGTCGATACTTTTGACAACACTAATTTACAGTAAAAAAAAAACAAACAGTAAAACGACATTCCCACATATGATTATATTACATAAAGTATAAATAATTTTGTCACTTCTCCATTTTGTTATTAATAATGTACATTAGGATGTTTTGTGACACATTTTGTGTTATTTAGTTAATGTTTATTGTATTATTTTAGTGTTATGTGTTACCCTGATGGTGTTTTGTGTTTGTATGACCCTACAAACCATCTATTGGTCATGTGTTATTGACTAGCCACTTGCTAAGAACTCTGATTCAATATGTGGATTTCTATTTTACCACCGGTATTATCATGGTGGTTATAAGTACATTTTAAGGTAAAAGCAGATTTTGGAAGTTCAAGTAACTTGGTGATTAACAATCCCATAATACCGGAAACATTGCCACTATTTTTTTTACCATGAATTTCTGGCTGCCATTTTTACTGTATATTTAACAGCAGCATTCTTTTGACTCGTAACAGTAAGCAACCATCCAGAAAACAGTGGGTTTTGCACTGGCAAGCACCAGAAAATGTAAAAATCTTGGCATTCGGATGCAGCCCTTTCCCTTTTTTTCCCCTGTTTGTCCAGTATGGCATGCTATATATATGGTCTCCGTCCGGAAAGATGAAGGCAGAATGTGTACTCTGGCACGGAAGTGCACAGATGACCAGGCCATCTGCAAGACCGGCTTCGTTTAATGTCAGCATAATTGTACATTTCTCACTCTCTCTCGCTCCCTCACATGCCCATGAATGCCCACACATCCTCACTTTTCATACGAGTGAAAACAGGTGCGCTCTCCTCCATCATCTCAGTCACTGTTGCCATAGCAACCCTATCCACAGCATCAGCGTCATCCCCGCGAGCAGCAAGTGGTCCCCACCTCTGAGAAAAACTGCGGGGCACTTTTCATTTTGACTCATCTTTCTGAAGAATAGACACTGGCATTATCTTGAATCCACCTCAGGCAGAAATTTGAAGGAAGTTACGTTGTCTCTGAAATGAAAAAGAATACAATGTCTCATTATGTTTCGGAACGGAACTTAATACGTCTTTGCATTTTGATTAGCTCTAGGCTGTTGTAAATGAAAGCGAAGAATTGTTCCAGACGATACACAAAGCCACTTTGTTGCAGCCATTTTGAAGTATTTGACTGCATTTTGAAGTGTGTGACTTCTCTTCTCTTCTCTAGGATGCAATAAACACCCTTGTCGATCCGTGAAGGGGCTTTTCTTACAGACTCTGTGTTACAGAACCTCGGGAGATGTATGGCAGTGCGCGCGCCGTCAGCCACATCGAGGGCAGCCCTGCTCGCTCCCCACGGCTGCCCCGCTCTCCTCGGTTGGGCCACCGTCGAGCCAACAGTGGCAGTTCGGGCAGCAAGACCTTATCCATGGAAAACATCCAGTCCCTCAATGCTGCCTACGCAACATCTGGCCCAATGTACTTGAGCGACCATGAAGGCGTCGGATCCACGGCTACTTACCCTAAAGGCACCCTGACGCTCGGTCGGGCCACGAGTCGAGCGATGTACGGCGGTCGGGTTACGGCCATGGGCAGCACCCCTAATATCGCAATGGTGGGACTCCCGCACGCCGACCTGCTGTCTTATGGAGATCTGGGCTCACTGTCTATGCTCCACCACCAGGGGACGCCATCGGCCCTGCTGCGACAGGCGGTCAGGGGCAGTGGAGGTGAACTTTTGGAGCTCCAAGCGCAGATGCGGGACATGCAGAGGGAAAATGAGCTACTACGGAGGGAGCTGGACCTGAAGGACAGCAAGCTGGGCTCTTCCACCAATAGCATCAAGAGCTTCTGGAGCCCCGAGCTGAAGAAAGAACGCGTGATGAGGAAAGAGGAGGCAGCTCGCACGTCAATTCTCAAAGAACAGATGCGAGTGACCCACGAGGAGAATCAGGTTAGGATGGTTACCTTACCTTACATGCAGAATGATAAGGAGCTATGCCTGAGTAAAAATAAGGGTTCTTTAGAGATTATTTGCAGTAATTCTTCCAATTAAGGCCCGATTTCTTGGCTTTTTGAGATGCTGAATGGTTCTTTGGAGAATAAGTTCTTGATGTTGCATTATATGTTCTTCAGGGGCCTCATTTATAAAATACTGCATAGAAAGCATCCTAAATTTGATTTTACGATCATTTCTCAAAGTGCGTATACGTGTGATTCATAGAACGAATGTATGCACAGAAAATGTGCGTACGCCTCTCTTTTAGATGTGAAATCTATAAATTGCAATGATCTTGAAATTGTGAGCAGCTGAACAGTTTCAGATCTCCGCCTTGTAAACGATGTCTAATTAATGTCATTGACTTATAAAAGAGCACCTGACAATGTCCAAATCTTTTACAAGCGCCAAGAATGGCTTATATTTTCAAAACTCGGGTAAACAAAAGTGCGTACGTCTGCTCAGACCCTGACGTGGCGCTAAGCTCTTTTCCACGTCAAAGACCGTTTTTATAAATATGAACGTTGGTGGGGATTTTTGCGTACGCACACTCTACGATCAAATCTGTGCGTACGCACGTTTTATAAATGAGGCCCCAGATCACTATATTTGTCCTAGATATCAGCCATTCACAGAGGAAAAACCCTCCTGGGCTTTTTTTTTTGTAGCACCAGTACACTGATAACCTTCTAAAGAACTATAGAAATTAAAAATGTTCTCTAATAATATCAAATTGTTCTGTAAGACCCTTTGTGGAACCTTTATTTTTATTAAGAGTGAATTTTGCTAAGATGTATAAATAATACATTATGGCATTTATAGATCATTTATTGTCTACTACTCATGGCTTTGATGATGTACACTACTGTTCAAAACTGTATCACTGTTTCCAGAAAAACATTAAGCGGCTGTTTTCAACATTGATAATAAAAAGAAATGTTTCTTTAGCACCAAATCAACATATTAGAATGTTTTCTGAAAATGTGGCTTTTTTTAATCACAGAAATCAATTACATTTTAAAATGTTAAAACAGAAAACCGTTATTTTAAATTAAAATTATCTGTATTTTTGATCAAGTATTGGTGAGCTTGAAAGACTTATTTGAATGACATAAAAAATCGAGCTGACCCCAAACTTTTGGACAGTAGCGTATGTCATTACATTATTACATTTACATTTTTTTTAAAGATATAGTTCACCCAAAAATGAAAATTCTGTCATTAATTACTCACCCTCATGTCGTTCCAAACCCATAAGACCTTCGTTCATCAAAATAAAAATGCACATGCATTTTTGTTTTCTTTGCACACAAAAAGTATTCTTGTAGCTTCATAAAATTACAGTTGAACCCTTGATGTCACATGGACTACTTTAATGATGTCCTTACTACCTTTCTGGGCCTTGAACGTGTCAGTTGTGTTGCTGTCTATATAGGGTCAGAAAGCTCTCGGATTTCATCAAAAATATCTTAATTTGTGTAATGAAGGTCTTACAGGTTTGGAATGAGGGTGAATAATTTATGACAGAATTTAAGGTGAACTATATCTTTAACCCAAAAAATGAAAACTGTCATTGCTTGCTCACCCTCATGTTAGTCAAATCCATAGGATTTTTCTTTCGTCCGTGGAACATAAAAGTTAATGACAAAATATTTGAAAATGTGAATTCTTACAAATTAAGAGTAGCATGAACATTGGTCAAAATTACTCTTTTTTTTTATTCATGTCACACAGAAAGCCATACAGGTTTGAAACGACGAGATGGTGAATAAATGATGACAGAATGTTCATTTTGGGTTAACTTTCTCTTCAAGACTAGTTTATTAGCTGGCGATCAGTAAAAGTTGCCTACTTGAGGGATACGCCTTGTCTATGAATTCTTGTGTTGCCAAGGTTGCTCTTCCTGCCTCCAGTTTTGGTGTCATCTGTGGGCTGTGTTCCTTTCTTCTCCTCTGTTCTGTGTCTCACTCAACTGTGTAATCACGCTCTCACTCTTTTTTTTTTCACCCACTCTCATGCTCTTTAAGTCTATTCACAGCTGATTTCTTCTTTGGGTTGTACGTCTTTTATGTGGCACTTCTGGAAAGAGCTCTTATAATCATTAATATTTCATCATTTAATCGGATGTGGCTTTCTGTCAGTGGACACGCCAAAGCCACAGATACTGAAACACATTTTAGACAGTTCCTGGCTGAAAATATAACTCATTCAAAGCCATTGCAGAATAGCATATATTTGCATACGTGTGACTGCACATGACATGAATTCTATATTTAATCTGTCGAGTTGCTATAGAGTGCAACAGTGCCTTGCCCACTTTTTCAGCAGTCTTGGTTCTGTAGATATTCTTTCCGTCCATTATTCCCAAAGGGATTTTAAAACCGTCTCCATTACAACAGTCACAAGCATGAACCAAGCCAACCAGCTACAAGGTTAATTAACAAATTTTAATTTGAAGTCAAAAAGTATTTGAAAATGGAACAAAAAGACAAAGAGTTTGTACTTACCGGCCTTAAATGAGGGAAAGAATTCAGTTCCAAGCATTGCGAATAGCATAATCGAATTAAAAATAATGGATAAATATAAAACTATTTCTTTAAAGAAATAAAGACCTCTCATACTTTATTGATTAAATACCTACAAAAATGTGTGATGGTTCAAGATTACTCTCATGTATTCAACAGCTGTGGACCGGAGATATTTGTTTTCTCACAGTCTCACCTCGTCCTGTCCATCTGTGTTTTTGAGAGTAGGGCAGTGGCCTAGTTAAATCACACTCTGTCAGCATGCTGCACGAGGCCTGGAGACGAAGAAATGTCGAGGACAAATGCTTGTCTGAGAGACTTTGTTTTCCTTCATCTGATTCCTTGTCTTCTCTAACACTGTCTCTTTTTCTCTGTCTCTGTCATCCCGCTCTCTTTTTGGCTCCTTTCCTGTCACACATCCACACTCTGTGCTTCTTCCTCTCTCTTCCTCATCCTATGTCCTCTCCCTCCATCTTGTTCTCTGTTACTCTATCCACCCATCCTCTAAGGCACCATATGGCATTTTCACCATACGGATCTTGTATATCGTAAAGACCATATCAAGAGTCTTGCATTTGGCTGCATTGTATTTCACATTGGAATTTAGTGACATTTTATTACTAAGCGCTCATGGCAAATACACAGTTGTGTTGTGTTTCGCATTCATCTCACTAAACAACTCTGTTGAGTTTAGGTTTCAATGCATATTTAAATTAAATCATTGCCATTCATTTCAACACAAACAGTTCTCCTTTCTATGCAAATTAGACTTATTGTGTTGTATGCACAAAAGTAAATTTGCCTACTGCAATTATTGGCGTGGTTTAATTAAAAGAGATGTTTGTGAACATTTTCTAGTGATCTTGGCAGCAGTTATTGATCAAATGACAGTGAAGAGGCCTATTTCCTGATGCACAGTGCAACCAAATGCACTTTATGCATTTTCAAGAGCCGGTTCTGGTGTCTAGATTGTGCAAACATCGTTATGCACTGTTTTGACCATGTTTGTGCAGTTACGTTTGCATAATTCCTTTGTGCAATAGATTTGGATGTGAAAACAGTGCAGATAATGCATGCAAAAAAAAAAAAGCTTTAAGCAGGCGGAGTTCATTCCCCCGTATCACGTAATGTGTCATTGTAGTGCGACTGTTTTGTTAGAAAATAAAATTCTTTTAACTAAAATAAATAGCTGGAATAAGCCATTTGCTGAAATATTCAGTTTCTAGGCTGCATGTGTAGAGACATAATTTCCTTGCAAATAACTAGTGAATCATTTCAATTACTATCACATTTTCTAGATAACCCCATGTAAAGTTCATGTATTCAGGTTGTATGTCTGAAAGACATCGGTGGAGATGAAGACTACAGAATGCATAAATTAGCAGTCCTGGGGTGAAAATGGGTTTCTTAATGAAATTGAAGAAAGAAGGGATGATGCAAAATACGGCGGAGTGTTGCTGAAGATTCTGTCTTAGGTCACTAGAAACTGAAGCTTGTGAGGAAGTTGATTATCAACAGGTCAGTTTCTACACACAAGGCAAATTTAACATTGTAGTGGCTTAATAAAAGCCCTGGGCAAATACATTATTTGAAAATTGTAGTGAACAATTGACATCTAAATAACCTGAATGACCTGGAGCAAATACAGCCCTGAAGAACAGGATAAAATCACACTCATTGCTCAGGAGATTTAGTTCTCACGTACTCTTTAACATAGAGGTTCCTTATTGGCGTTGATGGATCCATGAAGAACATCCATGGAACTTTTTCTTCGCACAAAAGGTTCTTTATAATAGAAGTAGTTCTTTAGATTATTAAAATGTCCTTCACAATAAGGAAAAACTGGTTCTTTTAAGAACTGTTCGCTGAAAAGTTCCTCGAGGAACCAAAAAGGGTTCTTCTATGGTATCATTGCAAAAACTTCATTTTTAAGATTGATTGAAGTTTCTTAAAAACAGACACTAATGAGACAAAGCGAGATTAATATATCTCTACTAATATCTCTACTATTAAAGGTGACATATCATGAAAATCTAGCTTTTTCCTTGTTGAAGTGCTGTAATTGGGTCCCCGGTGCATATACCAACCCAGGAAATGTAAAAAAAGGAGCCCTTCTCTGCAAGCTTGTGAAAAATGAGCCGCTCAGATTTCGCTCCCCCCGTGACGTAAAAAGAGGGGATCTTATTATAATATTACCGCCTCTTAATCTGCACGTTTCCACCCATGGTGCCACCATTGTGTTTCACAAGCGACAACGATGTACCAGTTCTAATGCCATGGTGAAAGTTCAAGCAAAGCATGCTAACTTTTCTGTCTTTGGTTGCACTGACGAGCACAGAACACTATAGCCTCGTTGAGACTGTCAGTCCAAATCCGATTTTGTGCATATCCGGTGGACAGTGACTGACTGTCCACACAGTGTATTGCAGC